AGTTTTGGGCAACCCCTTTGGTGGGTTTCCAATGGGGTATGTCCCCAATAATAATATTAATAATGCAACCTTAATCTACGTTTTCGTTAACATTGGATGAGTTTTACAGGAGTTATCATATCCCTCCACGTTACAAGATGGACAGAGCTAATACATCACCACACTTTCAACAGCTGGAAAACAAACAACCCATTCAAATAATTGAAAACTTAATTTAAAAAAAACGAAACGGTAAAACGCAATTAATTGACTTCATACTTTATTAATAATTTAAAGGTGCGTCGGTAAACATCCGAGTACTCCAGCGCTGTGGAGTCGAGGGTTAGTGGAGTCACACACATGTTGTGAAACGCGCTTCCCCGTGGGCGTCAAGGTGGTGCCATACCCTGGCTCGCCAGGAGAAGGCAGTACAACAAATTGACGAATCGACTTTTGCTTCCACGTGAAATGAGATGGAGTATTAGCCCCTCGAGCGTGTGGGGTTTTCTCTGGGTGCTCCGGTTCATGCCACTTGTATAACATCATGAATTGTCTGAAAACATCTTCATATATATATAGCATCGTAGAGCTTGTCCCAGGAATCAGTGCGGCTCTCCTGAATAAATAAGTGATTACAATGCGTTCTCCTTTAACACGTTTCAAAATGCGAATTGGATATAACGTGATGAATGTACGTTTTTAGGGAACACATTTTTACAACGCGGATGCGAATTGGATAAGTGCACAGATCTATGTCGTGCGAGTAGGAATAAGTGGTTGTACGGCTGCCTCAACACAGCATCACACAAGGCGTTAGGGTGCTGCTGGATGCTTCGAGATGCTTTGTTCAGCCTGCGTACGCATTTCGTGTTATCGCAGACTGTGCTTTAACCCTTTACTATTTATAATAACAGGATTTTTCCAAAACGTGGTGTTCTACAGGAACGCAACTACCACGTTAGAGGAGAACAGACTGTATTGTTTAACAGCCTGGGTGCACCCATGATCGAATTCCTCGGCCCAAACGAGATAACTATGAGACGGTAGTGCAGAGTGGGGTTGTGATTTCAACCTGTGGAACTTTTTGCATTATTTTCCTTTTCTCCCCTTTCCTGAGGTTTTTTTTCCTTCCCTGAATTGTGCTTTCGGCATGTCAAGAGATGAATCCGAAAAAAAATCTCACAAAGCAGTTTAGCGCACGTGTTTGAGAATGTCTGCGAAAAGGGATTTTCTTTCACAGGACTTCCCCAGACAAATCCTGATTTAAAATGATTCGTAATATCAGTCAATCCAAGATTAAAAATTCTTGATTGCGATTTTTATTATGTCCAGTTACCAGTGGCAGGGATGAGAACTCCAGCTCACTAGACTTGAGAACCCACTTTATTGACAATCACTGTAAACTGCAGAGCATATCGATACTTGAAAGTGGAGTTTGTCTCTACCTTATACAACTGGTTGTGCAATTGCTTTCGGAAATGGTTGCAAAAACGTTCACACGTAAGGCATTCAGTTGCACGCAACCAGTTTGCGCAGCTAATGATCATCCAGGTATTGGACCTGGCATTCGACAATGGAAGAAAATGACACAGCCCTCATTGTAAATTCCTATAGTCATAATAGAGGATTTTGGGTTAGATCGCGTAAGTATAAGTATCAAAACACTCCACCACCTGACACATCCAATCAGTAAAGGATTTGTCATGTAAACAAAACGCCTAATAGTTACTACTTCAGCCCACCAGTGTGTTGAAGAGTGAATCCACAACATTTACAATCTGAGTACGCCGTTTTGCTGGTAATTACATCCAGCATCATCGGGCTATTTGCTAGAATAGTGAATCCATCCACCTGCTTACGGTCTTAAATAGAGCAGCAGGACGACGTCATCGCTGAACCCAATCAGATGCAGAGATCAGAGGCGGAGGAGGGGAGTATTGTAATTAGTATGTTTTCCCTATAAGGAATTGTAATTATAATATGTATTACTTAATAATATGCTTCCAGGCCACACTAAGCCTGTAGCTGTCAGAGCGGTTAAAATTATTTGTATTTCTCTCAATTTCAATGGATTCTCTCATTAGTCTTGGCCAGTAATAATTAGTTTTACATAACACTTCAACGTTATCAAAATCAAGTGTCCTTGTTGGTAAGCATGTTATGCAACTGCCAACAGTTGTGTTTGAGAGTATTTCATATTTTTTTGGTGTTCTTTTAGTCTTACGCTAATGTTACGTCCCGTCTGTCCAATAAAGCATTTACCACATGATAAGCAATTAATCCGATACACACCTTCTGTTGATAACTTAGGTAATTAATCTTTAGTACAAGATACTAGTTTTTGAATTTTGTGTACCGTACCAAATCATACTTTAATGCTAATTTGTCAGTTACTCCTGAGATATATGGTATTTTAATTGTTTTGATAACCTGATCACTTTCAGCAGTATTGTTGTTCGGTCTTGGTTTGGCATTCAATGCTCTGTTAATTTGAGCATTATTGTAGCCATTCAGTCGTAGTGCTTCTTTAACATGTTTAATCTCTCTCCTTAGACTTTCACCATCTGACACTGTTTTTGCCCGATGTATGAGCGTCTTGATGAGAGAGGATTTCTGTGCTGGGTGATGATGCGAATCTGCATTCAGATGGACATCAGTGTGCCTTCCCTTGCGGAAGACGCTCTGTGTTATTTTACCGTTTAGGCCGCTTCCAAGCAAAATATCTAGGAAGGGGAGTGTGTTGTTCACCTACATTTCCATGGTGAACTGGATGGCCGGGTTTTGTGCATTGAGATGATTTAGAAATTCATTAAGTGTATCTTTACCATGTGGCCAGACAACCAAAGTGTCATCAACATATCGAAACCAAAAAGTTGGTTTTAATGTACTTGAAGCAAGTAAACTTGTTTCAAGGTTTTCCATGTACAGATTCGCTATAGCAGGAGATAAAGGAGAGCCCACTGCTGCTCCTTCCTTTTGTTTAAAAAATATCACCTCTCCATAAGAAATAAGTGTTTAGACAATGGTCAGCTAATTTTGGAATATCTTTTGGTAAACGTGTCTTATTTACTAGTGTATCAAGTAATTTAAGTGACTCATTAACTGGAACCTTAGTGAATATAGAAATTACATTAAAACTCACCATAACGAACAACAATACTGCTGAAAGTGATCAGATTATCAAAACAATTAAAATACCATATATCTCAGGAGTAACTGATACATTAGCCCATGTTTTGCAAAAGCAAAACATTAAAGTAAGATTTGGTACGGTACACAAAATTCTAAAACTAGTATCTTGTAAAATCTTGACTTAAAGCTTTCGTGACTGCAGGAATTCATATTCTTTGGGATTTTCGGTAAAGCCACGTAGATAGAACAATAAAAATAATCATATCACGACGTTTCGATCGCAGCACAAGCAATCGTCATCAGGTGAAAAATATAGCGGGAGAGCTGCTGAGAATATTTTAAATTACTTATACGGTAAATGCTATATTGGACAGATGGGACATAACATTAGCGTAAGACTAAAAAGAACACCAAATAAATATGAAGTGCTCTCAAACACAACTGTCAGCAGTTGCAGAACATGCTTGCCAACAAGGACACTCAATTGATTTTGATAACGTTGAAGTGTTATATGAAACTAATTATTACTGGCCAAGACTAATTAGAGAATCCATTGAAATAAAGAGAAATATAAAAAAATTTCACCGCTCCGACAGCTACAGGCTTAGTGTGGCCTGGAAGCGTCTTATTAAGTAATACATATTATAATTACAATTCCTCATAGGGGAAAACACATACTAATTAACTGATTACTAATCTATTATATAATTACAATACCCCCCTCCTCCGCCTCTGATCTCTGTATCTGATTGGGTTCAGTAATGACGTCGTCCTGCTGCTCTATTTAAGACCGGAGGCAGGTGGATGACTTCACTATTCTAGCAAATCGCCCAATGATGCTGGATGTAATTACCAGCGAAACGTCGTATTGTAAATGTTGTGGATTCACTCTTCAACACACCGGTGGGCTGAAGTAGTAACTATTTGGCGTTTTGTTTACGTGACAAATCCCTTACTGATTGGCCGTGTCGGGTGGTGGAGGGTTTCGACACATTCATACTTACGCGATCTAACGCAAAAACCTCTGAATAATATTGGTAGCGAAAGCCTACGTGTTAAACTCCAATAGTCATGTCAAATAAATGTCAGTACATTATACATTGGGGTTAACAGCTAGAGCAGAATGCATGATAGTACAATTCCAGATAATTTTCTCATTTTGTTTGGCGTTTACCATGTTTTAAAAGTCTGTTTAGGCCTTTTGCAGCCGTGTTTTTTTAACTGCACGTCACCCTGTAGCCAAGCACTTTTAAATATTAATTCTGTAAACTTGGTCAGTTTCGATTTTTTGGCGAAGCGTTTCACAATGGTCGGGGCGCATCGCTTGTTGTTAAATGCAATATTTGATGTTCCAGAATGTGCCACTAGATGGCAGCAGACACAATACTGTGCGTGTGTGAGAATAAAATAATAAATTGATAAAATAATAATATTCTCACGACGTTTCGGCCACAACACAAGCGGCCTTCACCTGATGATTCTGTAAACTGATGAAGGCCGCTTGTGTTGTGGCCGAAACGTCGTGAGAATATTATTGTGTTATTTTATTTTATCAATTTATTATTTTATTCTCATTCTACGTGACTTTACCGAAAGAACCAAAGAAGATGAATCCTTGCAGTCACGAAAGCATTAAATCGAAATTTGTGCGTGTGTGGCCTGCAAAACAAAATCTACATTCGGTCACCTAAAAAATAGACGGGACTGCATGTGAATACTGTGCGATGCCTGGGTGTTAATGTGACTATCTCATGCCCCCTATTTGCATGTTAGTTGTACGTGCCCCCCACGTTAAACAAAGTTACACTACGAAGCTGCTTGACCCGCTACGGATGCATGTTGAACTTCATTCGCACCTTACGTAGCCAACCGTGCTAATCGGAGATGCGGATGAAAGACGACAAACTAAACAGAAAAAGCAGTTCTAAAGAAATGAGTTTCTCAATCTAGCTTATTTAAAAGTGCGTAGCTCCCAGTGGCTTCCTAATAGCCGAAAAGCAAGAGCGTTGCCAGACGGCCGCGGAAGCGCGCATGAAAGCGCTACCCCCTAATCCCGTTGTCCCCGGCGCCAAAATCGACGGCGGAGTTAATGAAATCGACGACGTCGAGGTGGCCCTCGGCTGCTGCCAGGTCTGCGGGCGTGCGGCCCAGCTTGTCGCGCTGCCAGAGGCTCGCGCCGGCTGCACGCAGCTCGGCCAGCACGGCCACAAAGCCCTCTCGAGCCGCGTCGTGCGCCGGGGTGAGCCCCAGCACCGCATCGCGAACGTCGGGGTCAGCCCCGGCGGCCAGCAGCGCACGTGCCACCGGAGTACTGCCCATCATCATCACCTGGTGGGGAACGAGGACACGGAACAATGCATGTGCTTGCTTAAACAATATGCTTTCTAGATGGTGTTGGCCTGGAAAGCCAAAGAGGCAAGAGGCCGATGTGACTGAAACATTTTTTTAAATGTTGTATGTGGGGTCACACAATTTAGTTATTACCCGTAATTTGCAAGATGTATTACCCACAACGCCCAGCAATGCACAATGAGTCGTTTAGCACGATTGGCTACGTACAGTGCAAAATAAGTTATACATACATATAATATATTGGTTTAACACGTGGGCTTTCGAGACCAATATAATCCATAATACAGGTGTTTTTGGGTTAGATCGTGTTAATATAGAAATGTGTCATTAAACCTGCCACCACCGACATAGACAATTAGTAAGGTTTGTCACTTAAACAGAACATGGCTATTCGTTACTAGTACAGCACACCGGTGTGTTGGAGAGCAAAGCCAGAACATTTACAATCTGTAATACAGGTGTTTTTGTGTTAGATCGCGTAAATATATAAATGTATAATTAAACCCGCCACCACCCGAGACAGCCAATTAGTAAGGGTTGTCACGTAAACAGAACATGCCAATCAATTAGTTACTAGTACAGCACACCGGTGTGTTGTACAGCTAAGCCACAACATTTACAATCTGAGTACGACTTTTCGCCAGTAATTACAACTAGCTTCATCAGGTGACAGCCAGACTTGTAGAGAAATCCTACTGTTTCGTTCCTTGGATAGAGGGGTAGTTGTGATGACATCACTTGTGAGCCCTTCTTGAGCGAAGTTTGGGTGGATTAATGAATGCATATACATGACAATGGGTATCATTTGCCGGTTGGGCTATTTATATGGTAATCCGTGTGCATTATTCATGCGCATTGTGCAAGTGAATTGACTTGTACCTCCTGTCGATTGTGTGCACTAAAATAGCCGTACCTGTTCGTGTTAAACGGTAATCCCTTTAAGTATGGTGACCTGAATAGGCATGCATTTAAACAATGTATTATTTGATTTATTTGCTTCCAAGCAGCACTAAGTCTGTAGCTATCCGAATGGTATTTTTTTCTCTCTCAAATTTCGATAGATTATCTAATTAGTCTTGACCAGTTGTAATTAGTTTTGCACAAAACATCAACATTATCAAAATCAATTTAGTGTTATTTTTGGCACGCGTGTTCTGCCACTGCCGACAGTTGTATTGGAGAGTATTTAATATTTCTATGATGTTCTTTTAGTCTCGTGCTGATCATTAGTCCTATTTTTCCTACATAGCTCCCGCAATGTAACTGATAAACTAGCCAGATGTTTGGAAAACAAAACCACCGAGTCAGATTTGGCATGGTACATAAAATACAGATATTAATATCTGGTACAAAAGAGGTATTACCGAAGCTATCAACAGGTGTTTACCAGATTATTTACACTTGTGGCAAATGCTATGGGAAAACAGGACGAATGATCAGCACGAGACTAAACACCAAAGAAATATTGAATACTCCCAAATACATAATGCGCATGCATAATGCACGGTGATTACCATATAAATTAACCCGACCGGCAATGGACAACCATCGTCATTTATATGCACACAGGATTATCTACAAATCTGGCTGTCGCCTGATAAAGCTAGTTGTAATTACTGGCGAAACGTCGTACTCAAGATTGTAAATGTTGTGGCTTTGCTCGACAACACACCGCTGTTGTACTAGTAACGAATTGGCATGTCCTGTTTACGTGAATAAACCTTACTAATTGGCTGTGTCGGGTGGTGGCGGGTTTCACGACGCATTTATACATTCACGCGATCTAACCCATAAAACCTGTGCCACGGATATACTAGGTCCCATGATGACGACATGGATGTATTGCCCGGCAAAGTGAGCGGTGACGTCACATCCGTGTGATGTCACCCGCATGCGGCAGCGATACGCAGTGCCCGCTGACGTCACGCACCTCCCGCCCCACCCACCCTCCGCCGTAGCACGCACGCGCGCGGCAAGTTATATTAGACTAACGTTTTGCTGGCTGGCTACGTCCAAAGGAGGCACGGACGGCTAGTAATATATATATAAAATTGAGTAAATTTACTGTAATAAAGGTTTCGATTTAAAGCTTTCGTGACTGCAAGGATTCACCTTCTTTGGTTCTTTCGGTAAAGTCACCACGTACAATGAGATTAAAATAATACAATAAAATTCTCACGACGTTTCGGCCACAACACAAGTAGCCTTCATCACGTGAAAGAACAGAACTGTCGTCTCTGATGAAGGCTACTTGTGTTGTGGCCGAAACGTCGTGAGAATTTTGTCTTATTTTATTCTCATTCAACGTGACTCTACCGAAAGAACCAAAGATGTAATAAAGGTGTTTGGGTTAGATCGCGATCTGACCCAACAACCTTTATTATGAATATTGGCCGCAAATATCCTAGGTGTAAAACTAAATTTACTATATGAACCTTATGGCGGGACCCCCGAATAAACAAAGCAAAATATCGCAATTTATTAACTTATTTTTGGCGACTCGGTCCCACCGCGCACATAAACGCCGCTACCCACCTGGCGTGGATCATTGTGTTGTCGTGTCCAAGCGCATCAGCGAGGATGAATGCGCAGAAGAGCTGAACGAACGAACGCACTCCATGCTCGGGTATGGGCAGCATCATGAGTCTTATATCCAAGGCTGCTCAAAACTGCCTACACGACCCAAGTCCTGTATTTGTCATAACGGTATGCATAATACAGTGAAAACGCTCTCATTATTGTGAGCTCCCAATGTCTGCAGTCAGGATCAATCGATGACAGTCCTATTACCTGCAGATATTTAACAGATGAGATGCATTGTACCGTTAATTCCTCCCGTTTGATACTTGTCCGTATGCATCTGTGCGGATAGGATTTTTTTTTGCGGTTAAGCCCTAGTCCCCACATCCCGCTCGTATCAATGCTGATAGGAGTGGCGACCCACTACTCTGTAGAGTAACATTGGTACAAACGCTTGTTACAATAACAGCGCATTGAAAACGCGTACTATTTTATGTACTGTTTACAAAGTGTGCTCACCAATCCACACTGAGAAACACGATGATTGAGAGGTGTAAATTATTTTTTCGATAGTGTATGTAAATAGAGGTACTGCAGTTTTAAAGGCGTAGTTTCACAACACTTGCCACCATCCTTCAAACACATTGGTGAAGAGCAAAGTTTTTGTTTACATTATGTTTACATTATATATGTTTACATTATGTTTACATATATATGTTTACATTGTTTATGCGAGAGCCCGGGGCTTATGGGACCCCAGGGTCCCGCCATAAGGTTCACATCGCTTTCCTTAGTCTAAAAGGGAAATATCTCTGTGGAAGATAATCTGAATAAGTTTTTTTTTGAATTGGTCAATTACAACCGTGCTTTGTAGTTTTCATAATACGTTTCTCATAAATGCAGACCATTTTAAAAACATATTACACGACCGGGGTTGTAGATACGTTTTATCTCGTCCAGGAGGAGCCAGAGAGATTGTTGCATTACAAGACTGGGAGGTAACTTGGCTTGGGGGGTGCTTCATCCACCAGTGGGCAGGCTGTAGCTGGATGTTGATGGGTGTTTTTTAAAGCATATTTGGTTAAATGTATAAGGTTAGGCAAACTGTTTTTAAATGCATTTGCAATAAGATCAGAAATGCACTTAGCATTCAGTGTTAAGACATCATCTTGTTAGTTTATGAATTTCGCCCAGTAATTGAAATATATTCCCATTGAATAAAAAGGAGGTTGATGAGAAGATTAACCATTACTGTGAAAGAGCAGCACTGTACATTAAAAAAGGCAATCATGCATGGAACCCCAAGTTAGTAACCAAATTAATATTTGAAATATGGATGTATTAAATTCCGTGCCATTTTACATGACGTAACATTTTACAATATTAAAGAACATTTTTTGTAATGAATGGATAGCAATTTAATATTACTTGAACCGCATCCGAAAGGACAGTAAACCATTCATGGTGGTGATTAAATCAGTTCATGCGCACGTGATGGGTGAATTATTACATCACAGGATCATAAGAGTTGGTGGCGGCATTGGATGACCTTTATTCAGCAGTGGAGTGAACATGGCTAACGATAACTTGACTGAATTAATATTATGCATACGCTATCCGGTACAGTGAACCAGGGTGGAACGTTGGTGCTGTAGTCCGAATACCCCCATTATAGCAGAAGAGTGCAGGCCTGAAAACCACGATTTTCAAACAACAAAGATAAGTAAAACGCTTCTGTGAAATTTTTGTTTAATCAATGAGCAGTTCCTGAACAAGTGCATAGCGCCTGTTCTCCCGTTACGATCACGGCTGGAGAAAGACGGGACAGGCCAGCTACATGAGCATTGTGGTCCTCTTGTCTTCGACCATCCCTGCGATGGCGAGATGTTATCTCCCTTGCCTGGTGTGCAGGAGGGCGTGGGTTCAACCCCGACCCTGCCGCCTGTATATTTGGAGTTTGCGTGTCTCTCTCCGTGGTCGCGTGGATTTTCTCCCGAGTCTTCCCGGTTTTTTTCCTCCGCGGTTAGAAACATGCGTTTAGATGATTTGGCTGTTGTAAATTTCCACACGATAAGCCACTTCGTTGAGCTGTGATTTGGGCCCAGGTCGCTTCTGAAAAAGAGCTGCGTAGCTAAGTGATAATAAAAAAGTAAAAAAAGGAATTTAATAACAAGGCTGCCCATGTACACACTTTCCCACATCTGCGTAGATGACTCAACACTGTACTGTACGGAAACTTTACACCGTTCCTCCCGGTGGCTATTTTAAACTATTGTACAAACTCGCGACATTCAAAGATAACCTCAAGTCCCGTTGATATCAAACAGAGATATATTCACCCTCAAAAGTGATTTGATAACTCAGAATGTAACCTCTTTTGTGGCAATGATCACAGCACGCGTGTTCACAAGACGTAGTCTATTTCTTTCGAGTTGCATTTGAAAAAAACAGCAGCA